GAGTACAACACCTATAACATTAGTTCACACCAACATATGTGATTTAAAATTTGTGCAAACTAGAGGAAGGAAAAAGTACTTCATCACTTTCATAGATGATTGCACAAGATATTGTTATATATATCTTTTAAGAAGCAAAGCTGAAGCAATTGAGGCTTTTAAAGTTCATAATAATGAAATTGAAAATCAACTTACCAAAAGAATTAAGAAAGAGGAGAATACGTAGTTCCATTTGATGAATTTTGTCAATCTAGTGGCATAATTCATCAAACGACTGCTCCATATTCACCTCAATGTAATGGTGTTGTCGAACGCAAAATTCGTACTCTTAAAGAAATGATGAATGTTATGTTGATAAGTTCAGAACTTCCCCAAAACTTGTGGGGTAAGTAGGGGTAGAAATCGGACGGAATGGATCGGAAATGCCCTTTTTGGAAATTTTCCAATTTTTTTCGGAACTTAAAAATAGGTTCCAATTTCCGTTCCAAAAAAATCGGAATTTCAAAATCTATTCCAATTTCGGAATACCTCGGAATCGGCGGAATTTCGGAATTTTCGGAAATTGCATTAATTCTTATTTTTTTGTTCCAAAATCGGAAATAAAGATAATTTTTAGTATTTTTTTTAATATTTTTGTAATTTTCCGGCAAAAGACAAGAATCCAAAGCAAATGTCAATAAGATGAAATGTAAACACTTGTAATAACAACATAATCGGTTTATCAAAGCAACCATAATTCTTGCAAGTTTTCAAAAAAAGAAAAAGTAAACATAGTTCTTGCAAAACATGAATAGAAAAACAATTCAAAAATAATATATATATATATATATATATATATATATATTTCGGAAATACAATCGGATCGGAAATCGGAATTTCCAATAATTTTATATGTAATTCCAATTCCGTTCCAAAAATAATCGGAAAAATCGGATATCGGAATATCGGAAATTGGAAAGAAAAAAAGTGTTCCAAATTCGGATATTTTCGGATCGGAATTGGCGGAATTCGGAAATTCCGTTCCAATTTCCACCCCTAGGGGTAAGCCATCCTTTCGGTCAACTACATTCTTAACAAAATACCACCCAGTAAAAAGGATGAAACTCCATATGATTTATGGAAGGATCGTGAACCATCTTATAAGTTTCTTAAAGTGTGGGAGTGTTTAGCTAAGGTAGAAGTACCTAAGCCTAAACAAGTAAAAATTGAACCCAAGGCTATAGATTGCATCTTCATTGGATATGCAAACAATAGTAGTGCATATAGATTTTTAGTGCACAATTCAGCAATTCCCGGCATAAATGAAGGAATGGTCGTAGAATCAAGGAATGTTGTTTTCTTTGAATAAATCTTCCCTTGTGAGGAAATAAAATAGACGAGTTCCAATAAGAGGAATTATGAAGCTACGAGTGATTCACCTCAAGTGGAGAAAGAACCAAGACGTAGCAAAAGAGTCAAAGTGGCTAAGTCGTTTGGTCCCGACTTTCTAACTTATATGTTGGAAAACGAACCAATGACTATTCAAGAAGCACTGTCTAGTCCCGAGCCTCCCTTGTGGAAAGAAATTATTAATAGCGAAATTGTATCCATCATGTAAAACCACACTTGAGAATTGTTTGATCTCCCTCGGGGAAGCAAATCTTTAGGATGTAAATGGATCCTAATAAGACAGTACAAAGTTGATGGATCAATTGACAAATACAAAACTAGATTGGTAGCTAAAGGGTTCAAACAAAAAGAAGGTTGTGACTTTTTTGATACTTACTCGCTTGTAACAAGGATTACTTCCATTCGTGTGCTCAGTCTATTGCAGCATTGCATAACCTTGAGATACATTAAATGGATGTGAAAACAGCCTTCTTAAATGGCGAACTTGAAGAGGAAATTTATATGGAACAATCTCAAGAGTTCATTGGTCCCGGACAAGAAAATAAAGTGTATAGACTTGTTAAGTCGTTATGTGGACTTAAGCAAGCGCCAAAACAGTGGCACAAATTTTTTGATAAAACAATGTTGTCAAATGGTTTCAAAATCAATAAACGTGACAAATGAATCTATATTAAAGGCAATTCAAATGAATATATAATTGTGTACCTATATGTAGATGACATGTTGATTATGGAAAGTAATCATGAAGTTATCATGAATACTAAATAAATGTTGAAACGAAGCTTATTTGTCACATTTATTGATTTTGAAACCATTTGACAACATTGTTTTATCAAAAATTTTGTGCCACTGTTTTGTGAGATATCCTGTTGTACTATAAGGGTATTGTGATGCAAATTGGATATCGGACACAAAAGACTCCAAATCTACAAGTGGATATGTGTTTACCATCGGTGGTGGAGCAGTGTCTTGGAAATCTTCAAGATACTAGTAACAGTAGGCACTACCCCAAGTCCCTAACAGTTACCAGAGGTCCACAACATCTACTTGTAACCTCGCCCAAGAGAAAAATAATGAAACAAAAAGGATAACACAAATAAAGAAAGAGCAAGGCATTAAACAACGCAATGATCTCATTAATGAACTTGTACATTTGCCCCTCATATCAACATGAATACAGGAAAATAAATAATTAACATTCTTGCAAACACAACTTTCTGAGGGCAAGAAAGAGCATGCAAGATTTCCATGGTATATATATATTACAGTGGCATGAATCCAAAAACGTATCCTGTAGATAGTTTCCAGCAGCTGCTTGAAACCTTGAGCTTACAAGAGAATCTGTCGTACAATTGATCACACTCGGCAGTGGAATTAAGTCTGGACATCATCATAATCATTGTCCAATAATTATGACGATCGTTAGAATGAAAGGATTGGTCATAATTTTGAATGCTGTCTCCAAGGACAACCACCTTCGAAAGCCTGTTCCAGCACATCCTCCATCCGCTTTGCAAGTAATATCTGTTGAGGCAAGATTTATTATAATACGATACTGGTTTCCATCTCATTATTCAACTTCAGAATTCACCAACTATTTTGTTCAAATGTCTATAAAGTATCAGTCCAACATCAGTAAGAAGCATAATGAATACAACCTGGTACATCTTGCTCTTAACTTAAATATCAGCTAACGTTAATAGATGATGTCAGAATTTCATGTTTAGCAAAGTGTGAGTTGCAAAGAATTACGAAACGACAAACATGATATGGTCATATTTTACCTCCAGGCTAGAGAGCACAGCTGCTGGCACCTCTGCTAAGTCCTTGAAGTTCCTCTCAGGTAGAATAACTCTCTTAATTCCATATCGATGGGCTGCTAAAACCTGTACAGCACTTGTTCGATAGTTAAATAAAGAAAATCTCAAGAGGCAAGCATGGATGCTGCATCAAATTATTTAATAATGAAACAGAAAATAAGTTAAATTATTTACAAGGTTTGCATATTAATAGAATTTGTTTTTTCTGTCGGAGGGGTGACTGAAAAATACTAAAATGGCATTCAAGAAATAAGAAATATTGCGACATTGTTGCAAGGAGCTCAGTCATAATTCATAGGGACAGAAAAGAGATCAGTGGAGATATATATATCTGCCACACAATCTTCCCAACATTAGCCATTACCCCAACCCTTTCATGTTCGTTGTTTCCTACAGCAACCAACCTTTAAGTATTAATTATCAAGGGCCGAGGCATTAAGGGTGGCAAATGATGGGTCAAGTTATGTTACAGTGAGGTCCAAAACATATCTATTGATTTGGGTCGAGTTAACTATGTTTCTCAATCAAGAGTTTGTTTTGGGTATGGCATGCATCGAATATTCAAAAAGATAACGTAGAATCACAGACACCTTTCGTACTCTGCTAATTAATGTAGCATTCCATTACAAAAGACATCAGTTATTGGTTTGATATGCATTTCTTCAGTTTGAACAATCTACACTTCAAATAATTGTCACATTAATAGAAGAGATTTTTTTGGAATGGTATGCATCAAATACTGGAATTGGTAAACCGTATTTAATGTAGTAGTTATTGAAGAAACATAATTTCACAATAACGTAAAAATACATCGAATAGTATAGCCGCCATTCACAATTATAAAATGAGAGCAAGTTTTAAGTATCCCAATATTATTAAGATATACATCCTAACTTAGGTATTTTATGTTTAAGATGCAAAAAGTTTATAATATACTAATACAACTTTCAATTAAATATTATATGTTTTAAGGATGTTATAGTCATTTTACTAATTTAATTGTATATAAATCGATAGGATAAATGGGTTACAATGTGGTAAATGGTTAGGGTTTCTAACTTAAATAATGAGATAATTAAAATTTTAAATTTCAATTAGATATGATTTTAATAAAAGCAGATAAAACAAGATATATGTGCATAGGGCAGTATACTGACAATCCTGTCCTTAGATCAGATCCACAGTCTACTGTTCCAGGAGTTCCGTACACGGTTTCTCCAAATCAGAGAATTAGCCCTATTCTATGTTCTCCATCCCAGTGCAGAAAAGCATAATCAAGATTTAGAGTCGAATTAACGGGTAATCCCATCTCAATTTTAACATGCCATTTTACATATGATGAGCCTTTGAGTTGACTAAGCAATATCTAACCAACTAGGTGCAATATAACTACCCTTTGACACACCTAATCAGATCAAAGAAACTAAAACTAGGACATCAGAACGAAGAATTAACCATGACATGTAAAAGAAGTACAAGGCATACCTTATCCTTGACGCCACCTACAGGCAAGACTAAGCCCCTCAAAGTCATCTCCCCAGTCATTGCTGTATCTGCTCTAACTCTCCTCTGACTGAAGAGTGAAACCAAAGAAGTAACGAGAGTCACACCAGCTGAAGGTCCATCCTTCGGTACTGCCCCAGCAGGAAAGTGTATATGAACATCACGCCCTTCAAGGAGATTGCTCTCCACAGCAGTAGTCAACTTAAGTTCTGTTGCTCTTGCTCTTACCTATAATATCTTAAGACAGAACCATAAATACATTGCCAAAGAAAACTAACACCTAAACGCAACTTATTTTCACTAAATTAGTTATGCATGTATTATCCCCAGCAATAATCCAAATCAAGAGGACTTGATTTTCATTTTACATTAAAAAAATTTAGTGTATTTCTGAAAAGTTAAATGGCAAGTGAACAATGCTTTACTGCAGCAATACTAATTCCAACAGACTTGGTAATCTTAAGTGATAGGCTAGCTTAAGCAAGGACGGCATTCATAATCGCATCTCACACACAAATTTCAATATCAGCAAGTAAAATTTTCCAGAGGTGACTTCTGAAAATAAAAGAAAGAGCATAGTGATAATGGACACGGTTTTTCGATGGAGAGTTGTAAATCTTGCAAGAAACCAATCTCATTTCAATATCTCAACGAAAGAAATCTCAAAGACAAACAAACAGTATTTTCTAAGGTGCGTGATGCTGCGTATGCAATCTAAGAATGAAGAATTCATTACCCATGTTAATGCAATTTGTGCTGACTCCTTAATAACATCCCCAAGTTGGCCTGTGAGATGCAACTCTCCTTTTCCACCCATTGCAGTAGCCTCAACAAATTGAACCTCCCCTCCGAAAGCTGTCCATACAAGTCCAACCGATACCCCAGGAGTCGCAACTCGCTCAGCAGTTTCTTTATCATCATATTTAGGGGGCTGACAGTCATCAAACACAGATTATGTTACTTCTATAGTTATATATATTTTCAATAACAGATTTAAAACTGTTGAACGACCACTTCCTCTAAAAGCTAGCTTAAAGCTTAAGTTGCTAGTGAGGTGAATCATTTAATACTAATATATCCAACAAGCCCCCTCACGTAGAGGCGTGTTACTTTTTGAAGCCTTCACGTGGGAATTTTTTAAATGGGTGGCAGTCCGATTCGAACACTGGACCTTCAATTTGGGCTGGCTATGATAAGTTTTTTGATGAGGTGGTCACTCAACATAGTATCAGAGTCAGGCCAAATGAAAAGTCTTATGTTCGAATCCCACCGCCACCCATTTTAAAAGTTCCACGTGCAAGGCTTCAAAATGTAACAAGCACGCACATGAGTTGGCGTGTTAAAGTTATAAATATTACTGATTCACTTCACTGGGATT